TCTTTCGTACACGTGTCCCCCTGCTAAATACTTACTGTTACGCTGTTTTGAACTAGTGTTAAGCTTTATGTTTCATTAGCTTTATGTTTTCATTCATAAAGTTAAACAGACATTAAAGCAAGAGGGCGGGGGAAACACTGTGTTCCTGCACACAGAGCCGCTGAAGTGGATTACATAAAGTGAAGTGGGCTGGTCACACCCACTTAGGACAGGCAGGAAGGTGTAAGCCTCTTTGTGTTTGTGTGTCATAAACTAATAATGGTAGCAGGTCAAAGTGTGAGGAACAGGCAGGTTACAGATGTTCCTCACTTTGATCTATTGTTCTGGACTTCACAGTGAGAAAGCAGCGACTACAGAAACAGTGAAAACGAGACAAAAGTGTTTAAAGTTCTGGGCTGGAAAACTGAATAATGAGAGAAATGTTATAATGCCTTAACTTTATGACCTTTTAGTCTGTTATTACTCCACAAAAATGTCAGTGGGATAGACAGTAAAGGCGAATGCAAATACTTTACTCTGCCTTTAGACATTAGAGAATGTGACGGGAGAAGCCGGCATATACAAACTAAATATTTATCTAGTTCTAGAATAAGAAAATAAACTTAATTTTAATTCTCATAATCAACATTATAAATTAATTCACACTGTAATACATTCAGATAATGTGATTTAGAGTTAGCTGAACCACAGTAACCCTTTAGCAGGACTAGTTTAGCCATTTTTAAATCTATTATGACTGCATATAACTACTGCCTCATTTATTATTACAACTACCAGGACATCATGATTATATATATATTATATGTCTAGTTGTCTTTTGTTTTTACTTGAATTACACATATATTAATATTTACCATATCATTTCTTATATGGTAAAATAAATGTTTAAAAACTCAACTTTCACTAAATATTTACTTTAATGGCGACTGTGTTTGTCTTTGTAGTGGAGAATTATTATTATTATACACTAGAGCAGGTTTTAGTTCAGTTTTCAGCCTCTAAATCAGGCAGATTTACACTGATGTAAGAGGATTTACAGTCCTACAATAGTATCCAACTCAATTATGAAGTGAGAAAAGCTTTTTAAGATTTAAAAGAAAGACTAGGAATAACCAGTCTGGCGGCCCCGGGGCAAAACTGAGTTATGGGCTCCTGATACCTCCAAATCTCTGTGCAATGTGTTAGTTAGGATTATACATCCTGTGAGCACAATACAAACTGGAATAATAAAGATGTTAAACAAATAATTCGAGGCACTATGAGACAGATTAAACTACAGATGAATCAAAATCATAAACTGGAAAGAAAGTACGGCCTATTTTAAACAAGAGAGTCTCTATAGTTTTAGAGAGAGTTCAAACTGCAGACCAGTGACATTCACATATATTTATAGTGTATAATCATCCACAAACTTCCTGCAGGTTGAACCAAAACACACTTTACTCTTAAATCTTTGGACATTACTCAGGATTTTCTGCAGATTTCATTGTGTTTCAAATAATTAACCTTTCCCAGACAATTACCCTCTTTGTGCAACGAAGATTGAAATCTCAAACCAGTTCTTTTGCATTTTGATAGCTAAAGAACTGGCTCTTAAAAACTAGTTTCAGCTCGACACGTTGCTGATCTAGAAGGAAGAACCACTTACAACAGGGACTGGGGGGCGTCTTGTGGCCAGCTATCTATGTATTTATTAGCTGTTTAGCACGTAGATGTATTGAATGTAACACTGAAATAGCTGGCTGTTGGTCAGCTGACATTATCCAAGCAAGCACATAATTCATTTCTCAAATAATTCAGTAGCCCAGAACGGACAAACCAAACACTATGTAGGGAGTTTTATGATTTTTAAGAGTTTCCTAGCCACTGTTTCTCCTATTAGTTGGTTACAGTCTGCAGTCTCACCACGGGTCCTTTAAGTTAAGAGTCTGACGCTTTCAGGATCCTTTGAGTTCTGGATTTAATCCCCTACAACCTTATGCTAATAAAAATCCAGGGTGTCACAATGAAGACCAGCCTGACAGCAAACACATGTGGTAAGAAGTGACTTCATGCCAGCAACAAGTCTAACCACCTCAGACCGACCTTTGACCTGCAGATCAGCTGACAGGCTCAGTTGGCTCGACGTGATATCCATATTAACACATACACACACAGACGCTCTGACCCACTGTGTGTTCGCACTGTGTCTTATCATTGCTGGGGGTTCAGTGCTTTGCTCAGGGACACTGCGACAGGTCACAGCTGTTCTTGTCTCTATTGTTTTCTATCCAGTAGCTGCTGTTTCCACTTGTTCTGCTGCTGACTCTACTTTAAGAGTCTGAGAGTTGCGCAACGCTGCCTCTGATTGGTCAGCTGACACTGCCAAACAGGAAGAGAGGGTGAGCTGGCACACACACACACACACACACACACACACACACACACACACACACACACAGAGTGAAGTGGTGGTGTGTGGCAGATTACAGAAAGTAGATCAGTACCCTGCAAACACTTCCTTTGCCAGCTACGCTACGATAATGTTAATCTGTGAACACACAAATACGTTTGTTTGTCTATACTTGTGAGGACCAGAGGTGGCAAAAGTACCGACGTTCTTTACTCCAGTAGAGGTGTAGATATATAAAAAAAAAAAAGATTAGTAAAAGGGAAGAAGTACAAGCTCTGAAATGTACTTAAAGTATATAAAACTTCTACTGGTGGTTTCTGTTCAACGCAGACTGACACTGCAGATAGAAAGCTGATGTTATGTTTCATCTTTTATGTAGTTTTCATCGTGTTACATCTGTCACGTATGATATGCTCCGGTCGTGATGATAAATCCTCTCAGGCGCATTAAAACTGAGTTAACAAGCCTGTTTTGAAGACGTAAGGAAAATAAAAGTTCAGATATTTGTGTTAAAATTCAGAAGGGGGAAGTAAAAAGTTGTCAGACTCCTGACAAAATGACTTAACTACAGTAAAGAAGAGTTTGGACTTTGTTACTTGGACCTCTTTGACATTTACTAACCACACACACACACACACACACACACACACACAGAGAGAGAGAGAGAAGCGTGTGCATTGTTGGTGACGGGGCAGCCATCCAGCAACAAGTAGAGACAGAGTCATAGTATGAACAACGGTTATAGGACACACCCACACACACAGTTTGAGTTTAAAGTTTAATATTTTAAGTGTTAAGGATTTTCTTTCGTCTATTTTACAGAAACGTTTTGCACTCAGCTGACTTGGTGATGATCAAATAGTTTTGCAGCTGAAGGGTTAGAACAGAAATGTACTGATATATAAACTATAAGGTCAAAGGTTCCTGCGTGTGGACGGATGAATGTATCACCATGTGAGGATGAAACATGTGACCATGTGCATTACTCTGCAGCCAGCAGCCTCCAGTCCTCTGGGAAGGCTTTCCACAAGAATGTAATAAAGGAAAGGAAGGGAAGGGGATTCTTGGGTGGCACTGGCGCCCCATTATCCTTATCTAGAGAGAAGATACTGGTATCATATGAAACTAGATGACTTAACGCTTCCATTGTTACCAACCATGCCCTGCTAGCATGTCGGGAAGGGGGTGAAATAACGATCCAAAGTGAAGCTAAATGTTCACCCCTTCACCACTTTATGTTAATGTAATTTTTTGTATTTATGTATAAATGTGTTATTTTCACCTTGTTTATTTGACTGTTTCTGCAGACTGGGTCCATAAACAGTGTTGGACTTAAATAAATTGGGAATGATGGAAAGCTGAGACCTATATACTGTCAATGGACACATAATTGATGACGCCCCTGTTAATATACTGTATATAAAACATAATGTAATTTATTTGATGATCTGTATCTGTTCCGCCAACTAAATTATCTGTATTTATAAATGTACTCAGAAGGGGCGGAGCTTAAACCAGTCGTTATTTAAGACTAAAATTGATATAGGTTGATCAGAAGTTGCTTTATTTATTGGAAAACCGTTTACAGAACAAGTTTATTTAATGAAAGTTACTATAAGTACAGATATTGACACATTTGACTTCATTTAGAATATAAACTGCAGAGCTGTAGATTACTGAGCCTTTCAACAAATTAAAATCGAGCACATAAAGTATGGTGACGAAATTCAACTGTGACTATTGATTAACAGCCAGAGCAGCCAATCAATCAGTTTTTTAACGTTCAACTGATAAAGACATTAGTTATAAATAAATAAGTAAACCTTAAGCCCTGGAACAAATCTTCATCACTCCATATGTTTAATAAAAGGGCATTATTTTTTAAATCTAATTGTTTATTCAATATTTATGGTTTTAGTGACCTTTAATGAGAACCATTTCCCATCAGGCCATGGGGTTTGTTTTGCTGGTTAATGTCACAGACGTCAAAAGAGGCGACGAGAGGACGCTGTAGTTTCAGACATATCGGTCGTAACAGCAGCAACGAGACACGCTTCATATGAATAATAAAAGAATAGAATAAATACAACTTTATTGAGTTACAGACATTACATCAGGACGTCCCTACAACCCTCCTGTCTCTCTCTCCCTGTATCCTGTCTGTCTGCCGTCAGTCCAATAACAACAAAATGCCAAAATAAACAGAAATAAATGCAGCAACAACAACACACAAACTATTTATTTTTGGCATTTTCAAGCTCTTAATAAGTTTCCTGCTGTTTCCTCACAGGTCACATGACACTGAAGTGAGTGATACTAAAATAAATGAGAGAGTTATTGTCACGTTTCAGGACATCTGCAGTGAAAACCCAGACTGAAATGGAGCCGTACTGGTTTGTGTTTTTCTACCAGAACTCTGAACCAATCAGAGACCGAACCTCAGTCACTGTGGTTCTGTACGCCACCAAAAATCTGTGTGTGTGTGTGTGTGTGTGTGTGTGTGTGTGTGTGTGGATTGGGGAGGTTGTGTGTGTGTGTGTGTGTGTGTGTGTGTGTGTTATGAATGCATGAAGTGATGTAGGGAGGGAGGGAGGAGGAGGAGGAGGAGTGGATGGAGTTGGATCCTATCTGAGTTTGGAGTGGAAAAGTACAGCTGTCTTGCTCCGGAGGGCGGAGACTTCCCTGTTGAATACACGAGCCGACCAATCAGAGGGCAGAATAACACACTGATTGACAGGCGGTGCTCAGAGCAGCAGCGAGGCTCCAGTGCTGGACTTCATGTAAACTCTGTTGTTTTATAACGAGCAGTTTCTGGCCTCAAAGACTGGACCTGGAAGTGAAACAGTATTTAATGTTAAAGAAGGATTGTGGAGATGTTAAAGATAGTTAACTGAATGTTTATTAATGAATCAATAACTTGTAAGTAAAGTTTCCATGAAGTAAAACACAAGTGAAACATTAGTGACTGATCCTTCATTAAGTCCAATAACGAGTTCAAAAAGGGTCAACTGTCCAATCGTAGCTTAGCAACTGTAACTATGTACAGTAAGTACATGATGGAGTATTTGTGTGTGGAGCCGGAGGAAGATTGCTCTCTAACACAGAATCAGGTTTATTGCCAGGTAAGTTTTCACATACGAGGAATTTATCATATAAATATTTAAATAGATTAATTAAATTAAGATTAAATAGATAGATTGTGTAAAACCACCGATGCACATTGAATATAAACCAGTGTGTTAATGCCGTTGTTCAGACTAGAGGATGATCGCACTGAAACTGGGTCTATGGTTGATTTGTCACCTAACTGTGTCTCTGAGCAGGTGATCGTTGTTGGTTAAAATGAACTCACAGAGGACAATTATGTGCGTATTGTCTGCAGCACACTGTCTCTACCACCCTGTATGTATTAATACTTAAAGGACCCAACTGAATACTGCTCGCCTTCCGAGTGTGTGGGAGAAATTATGGTGGCGGGCAGAAGTCATGTACTGCGAGTTGAGCGTCCCTAACAGGAAACAATGGCGGCACAGACTCGTATTACAGCTGAGCGGTTCACTAAAATATGTTTCTGAAGCCATTTTAAGCGAGAAACAGGCACCAGAACAGAATCGTAATTCACATTTGATCATCAGATGTGGTTTTATCGTCTATTTTAACATAATTTACTAAATGCTGTACAAAAGACGACTTAAAACCAGAGATTGAGACCATAAAATAATTATGAAACTGTTACTGAGATAATAAAACATTGAGTGATTGTGTTCCAGGTACATGCTGACTTCGACATAGAGGCCATTTTTTACAGTCTGTGAGGCCGACCAGTGTGAGTGTGTGATCTGTTCCCTGCTGCTCCACTGACCTGACAGCTTGTACTGCACACACACACACACACACACACACACACACACACACACACACACACACACACACACACACACACACACACACACACACACAGATACAGACTCAAGGAGAGAGAGAGAGAGAGAGAGAGGGGAGTTAATATTCTCTCAGCGGTGTGGTGAATGTTTCACAGGACTGACAATCTCCTCAAGGTACACAGACACACACACACACACACACACACACACACACACACACACACACACACACACACACACAGATTCCACTGGCTGTGTGAGATGAGTTTGGATTGAGAGAGCAGAGCGAGTAGAAATGAGGAAGAGGAGGCCTGCTGTTTGTGGATGATGTCAGAAGTGAAATCAAAGTTTAATTGCATGTTTTTATTTTGTTGAGTATAAAAACAATCACGTTCATAGTCACATGACTTCAGTCCACAACTCTGGTATGTTTACAGTACATCAGAAGAAACACAAAACATAAATTACAGAGTTAAGACTTACAGTGTAATCTCTTTGTACTGATGGTCTACCAGTAAACAGGTGGGTTTGTAATCAGTAACCTCATCCAAGTATCACAATATTTAAGTAACTTAATTACTTTACATTACTTTTGGATTACCTTGAAACTAAGTACAAGACAAGAGCAGGCCGTGGACCGAGACCGAGTCCTGGTAGCCCACCTGGTGGAGCTGCAGCCCCGTGGACCGAGACCGAGTCCTGGTTCCAACCTTTGACCCTTTGCTGCGTGTCATCCTCTCTTCCTTTCCTGTTGTTCTTCAGCTGTCACTATTGACAGTTACCTTTTGGTTGTATCCTGATTACCTGCCAGTGTGTATCTGTACATACATGTAGTACCAGATGTTAACAAGTTGTTAGGGTTGTTAACGGGGCTTTTTTTCTCCCCTTTTGTATAATTATAATATAAAACTATCAATTTTTGTACATGTATTTTGTTTTTTCACTCTCATTATCTCTCTTATTGTCTTCCTGTTTCTAAAAGACAATAAAGAGATGGTTAGGGAATGAGGGGCTAACTCTATAGGAACTTGAATTTACACTTTTTAAACTTCCATCCTTAAGAGCCGCTCAGAAGGTCACAAATGAGCGTCGACCATCAACGTTTGCTGGTGAACTGAGTGACTACAGAGATGTTTTGTGCAGGTCTTGCTGTGGTTGTGACCTTATAGGTTTGTGAGGAGGCGTGCTGAGTTTTAAAAGTTATGAAATGACACGTAGCTCTTTTTCACTGACTGTATAACGTTTGTGTCCTTTGCTGCTCATGACAGTTATAATGTGACCTGTAGTCCACAACAACAACGACCTGCACTCAGTTTCAATCCACATACAATGTCGTATCACATTCTGTAAGTAGGCCTATTTACACACTAACATACAACCTAATATAGTTCCTGACATTACTCTTTTCCTTGGACCTTTGCATTTACCTAAAAACCCTTCAAAAGGAACTATGTAGTTTCTAGTGTATATAGGGTCATTTTGAAATAACTCACAGCAGGTTTATAACTCATTACAGATCCCCAATGACAGAAGAGGTACCGTTTAGTTAAAAAAAAAAAAACAGTTTAAATTATTTCTCACTTCCCAGATCAGTTCATCTTCTTCCCTAACTTCACACACTTTTTACTTATTATAGTTTTATATTTTTAATTCGTTTTTATTTTGTTTCTAATAGTTCACAGTGTGTTCGCGCTACTGGGCATCCCTGCGGCGGTAAAGAGGAAGGTCATTAGAGTCGGTACTGAAGCTGCAGAGTAAAGCCATCAGGTAGCTGTGGATCGAGAAGGCCGGTCCGCTGGGACACAAGTTGGGGTCTGATCAACCCCCGACTGGGTCGCCTGGACGAGGTTGTCTGATGTCTAAAGACCCGAAACACCCGATGACCCCAGGTTACACTGATCTGCAGGATGTATCTTTGTTTTTACCTCAGTTTCCAGAGCAGACTGGTTTGTTTTAATTTAGTTTTTATTGTTCAAAAATGTTTGTAGTAATTTTCTTTATTATAATATGAGGGGTATTTGTCAGGGGTAATATTCTAAGAGGTCTAGAATAATGTATTACAAATAAATGTACCAAAAAGACTTAAAAGACATTTCCTGAATAATATTTTATTTAATTAGTTTTGTTTAAGCAGACAATATTGTTAGTTAATTAGTTAATAGTTTTATTTTCAGTAAACTAAAATGTTTTTTCACACCTTTTTTAATTTTAGGTTTAACTAACTATAATAATCTTGCCTTGTACCTACATTTATGTATCAGTACATACTGCTACACCGTACTAGGATTACACTGTATATTGGGAAGAATTACACTTTACGTTGTGGTCAATAATCTAAAGCCAACAGCAGAAAAAACACCTCATGTTAACAGCTATAATGAAAGTCCTGCTGAAACACAAAATTGGTAAATTCGATAGAGAGAAAAACGTCTTTTGAGTCGTGTCGTTTGAGATGTGGATAAAGTTTCTTGTGTCTGCAGAGTTAGCAGCATGAAAATGAAGTTATCACATAAAAGAAAGTCTTTCATTCTCTAAGACAGGCGCGCCGTCAGTAGTGGAGGATGCAGTCAATGATAAATAATAAAATTAAGTAACATTTGCATCACATCTCTTGAGTTTATCGTATGTTTTGCATTTGAAATCTTATTATAAAGTAAGTTATCTCCAGCCCGTGCTATAGTACACACTGTAGTACATAATGTACTCATTTCCAGCCGTGATGAAAGTGTGTCAGATCAGTTTGACAACAGACAACACAGCCGTTGGTGTGTGTGTGTAGGACACGTATTGCACGTAATGCATGTGTGTGTGTGTTTGCCCCAAAGATACACACAAGGAAGTGAAACAGGAAACCTCAGCGTCCGATTGGCTGGCTGGGACACAAAGACTCTGCCCAGTTAACTAAACAGCTCAGTGACGCTGAACACCCTCTTCCTCCTCCTCCTCCTCCTCCTCCGTTCAACACAAGTCTTCTTTCTTTTCCTTCCTGTATTCACCCTCCATGAACAAAAATGCAGCAGTGTTCAGTCTCAACATGTACTCTAACTCAGGAGAGCAGCTCTCCTGGCAGCGGCTCAACTGAAACAAACTCTCTAAAACTAAAGATCACCAACTATTTCTGGAGAGAGAATTGTGTTGCAGGAGTTCTTAAATATAGAAGTGACTTAAAGGAAACTAAATCTGAGGCTGTGTTCATCGATGGTTGGGGTAGTTCATCAGATATCACACAAGCAGAGTACAACAATTTATATGTGCAGGGCATCTGGTCAATGTGGATCGACTTAACTTATGTAACAGCCAATTCCTCTGACATAGTTCCGTTCAGTATGGATAAAGAGGTGCCTGACGTCTGTTTCTGTTCTATTTTTCTCTTGACAGAAGGTTAAACAGAAGGAAGGATAATAACCTAATGAGATTAATAACTCTGAACTCAAGACAAACCAAATAAATCACAAATCTAAAGGTCATTTTCCCCTCCTTCTCTCTGTCAGAAGTGAGAACTTGTTTCAGTGGGATTTGGATCTGACCTTGTGTGGAGGTGGAAAAACTCACAGAGACGCTGATAAAGAAACACCTGGTCAGCACACACACACACACACACACACACACACACACACACACACACACACACACTAATAATAATATCACATTAATCTTTTAACCTAACAGAAAGTCGATCAGAAACTGCAAATGTTTCTTCTACATTAATTCCAATCTGTTGACACACAGAAAAAGGTTTGTACTTGTGTTCCTGTGAGGACCCTCATTGACATACAGTAAGCCACTCGCTGGCCCCGGAGGTGTTGTGCAAGGGTAAATACAGGTGTACCTACTTATTCCTCAGTCTGCACTGGGTGTACACACTTTTAAATCCCCTTTGTGTTCTGCAAGCTGATTTTTATATCATATATATGGTGAAGGACGGGATCAGGAATACTTTACTCAAAATGCATAAGTTTGTAGTTTTCTCGTCAAATTCTGCACCTCTTCTGTGTCTAATGTTAAATTTATAATGATCCTCTACTGCCTGAAGTCAATCAGCAGACATTGAGTGCAAACACCACTGTCACATTCTTGGATGAACAGAATGATGTGCAATGAATGTGTAAGAACAATCTTACACTGTTTATAACACAGGATGTTTATTCTTCCTTATAACCCACTTCTCTAGACACAACACCACCACTGACTAGAACTCTAACCCTAAACTGAACCCCAAGTCTGAATCCTCAAACGACCCTTTGAAGAAATTAAGAACCGGACAAAATGTTCTATAAATAAAATGCCCTCACTTTTTAAAACTGTTGTCACTTTCTAAACGTCTTCAGTCTTAAGTGTTTGAACTTAAACTGGTCCTCACAAAGGCAGAAGAACAGGACACACACACACACACACACACACACACACACACACACACACACACACACACACACACACACACACACACACACACACACACACACACACACACACACACACACACACACACACACACACACACACACACACACACACACGCAGTTTTAGTTCCTGGTTTTATCTTGTGAGTGTCACTCATGTTAAGGTTAAAGTTTACTGCAGTTTTATTCAGTTTGTTTCAATCAGAGATCAATAAAATCTATCAGATTACCTGAATTCTGACACATAAACTACTAAATGAGGACAAACTTTAATTAACTCTTATTAAGTCAAAATTATTTGACTTTAAGTTGTTTGATTGACAGTTTGATGGGAGGCACTTGTGAGTTTTGAATCATCCCAATATTTCCTTCTGCCTATTTTAAAGTTGAGGATGAACTTCCGCAGAGAGGAGAGCAGCCGTCCAGTTTTTCTTTAGATCAACAACAGAAACTGTGAATGCTCCGACGCCCCCTTCTGGTCAGTCTGTGTAATGTTACCCAGAGGAGCAACAACTTCCTCATTTCTTTCAGTCTCAGAAGATAAAACAGAGACCTGGAACTCCTCTTTTAAAAAGGACATAAACAGAAAAATAAAAAAAAGAAGGAAAAAAATCATTTGAATTAAGAGTCATTATTATTTTAGATGAAGCCATATTTCACAACACTCTCAGTTACTTCAGTGATTGGAAATATTCTCAAATAAAAGTTGAAGGATTTCTTATTCAGTGCAGGTATTGATTAGTTTTACCACAAATTACAAATTAATCGATTGTGATACATTCAGTGTTTTAATGAGCAGTTCTGTACAGAATGGTTTTTTTTTTTAAAAGGGCAGAAAAAGTCCTTAAAATCTCTCGTCAGATGGATCTATAATATGATTTCTTTGTAAATGAAAAAGGTGGAGCGTGCGATTCAGGAGAAGAATTGTTGGTATTTGAACTCAACAGCCATCTTGTGGAGTTCAGCACATTAGGATTTGCCACATTTACCGTCCTTCTCGCTCTAACTGCCCCCTCTCACCCATCTCCCCTTCCCCCCTGTCCTATATACAACTTTGTTTCCCATTACAGAGACAGGGCTGTGTTCAAACACCAGATTTTCTTTCAGTGCACACAGAGAACCGACAGCTCGAAGACCGTGATGATATATCTGGTGAATTTAATAAAAAGTGTATTTGATTATAATCACTGACTAAACCTTGAACATCGCTGGGTGGGATCTATTTTTAATACCTTCCTTCCACAGGTATATGAGCTGCTGATGATAGAAGTCATTGGAGCTTTTCTAGCCTTCACAGCACAAGTTTAGCGACCTAGAATCATCTCACACGTCTCTACTCAGCCAATCAGATCTGTGCATTGTGACTCAACTGAGTGAGACACACACAACCTGGAGATCAGAGACAGTTGGAGTCATCTAAGAGTCAATATGATCGATCCACCAGAAAGAGGAGAGTCTGTGTTTTTGACGATGCTGACAATGATACCATCGGGAATTCTAAACACCTTCATACAAGCCTCGTAACAGATGATGAAACTGATGAGAGAAGTTATCTTTCCCAACATTAATTAAGGCTTTAACAGAAGAATTATGTTTTAAAATCCATCACTGATGCAGGGACAGAACAGAACACACTTGTCCTTTATGTCATCACTTACTTCTCCACTCAGGACTCCATCAGTGATAAAAGCTCACTGTGGATCGTTGTGGCTCTAAGATATCGACGTCTGAATGACAAGAAGACGTCACTTCAACAGCAGATAAAGCCACAAATGTTACAGATTCCAGGTCTATAAACAGGATTTATCGCATCAGTCCGTCCTCCTGTACTTTGTCTGTCCCCTCTGCATCACACTTCTTCTTTTTCTTCTCCTCCTCTTCCTCTTGTCTCATCCTCTCCTGCTCTCTCTCCAGCTCCTGCTGTTCTTTGACGTCAGCCTCCTTCAGTTTCTCCTCCACGTCCTCAGGAATCTCCACCTCCAACAGGTTCTCCATCCCCTGCTCCGGCTCGTCTCCTATCAGCACCTGGAGGGAGGAGACAGTTCCTGGTTTATGTTCCACCAAACTAATGAAGGCTAATCCAACAACAAATCCTCATGAGGGTTACAATATTCAGTTTGTGTTAAAACTGTTTTAGAGAGGTGTCGCTACGACCATTAACGATGGTTCTGTTCTGGTCTCGTGACAAAAAAAATGTCACGAGCGACATAAGATGAAACGGACAAGATGGAGGATGACTCTATTTGAAGTTTCCGTCAGCTTTCCACACAAACAGCCAGTAGAAATGTCATTCAGAGAAACCAAGAGAGCACTTTTTACTTTTATACTCATTTGAGAGCCTGAACTTTGTCACTTTTAAAGACTTCTACTTGTATCAGAGTCTCTTTTTACACTAGAATCTGTCCTGCTACTGTCCAGGAAGTAATGACAGTGAGCCAGCATGAACAATAGACCTTTTTCACAGCAGCAATTATGACATGAAATAGTAGGGTAAACCATTTTTAAAGAAATCCTTTTCCAGGTTGTTTTTTTTGGACAATGCAGGTCAGCACTTGCTCACAAACGGTCATATAATCTTCGGTAGGCTGAGTATCGACACGTTTAAGTGTCATTCCACACAGTGTAGGCAATTTGAGCGAGCGGGCCGAAATACTATAAAAATTTTACAACAAAAAATACTATAAACATTTTACAACAACAAACAGGATATTTTGGTCATTTTAATCAAGTTCCAGGTGTTTCTGTGACTGGAAAACTAGTCTCTTTCCATGTTTTCCAGATTTTCCAGGATGTGTGGGAACCCTGAGGTGTAAGGTTCTGTTTCTGTCTTAAAAAATGATTAGATTTTCAAAATAATCAATATATAATATTCATAAATAATTGAAAAATGTATTGATCATTTGAGCTCCAGTTGTGACCTTAAACCTCTGGAATCAGGATTATCAGGAACCATGTTGTTTGAGCACGTTATGGATCTAAAAACCAACAATCTGACTGCTGCTGTTTCCATCAGTCTGTTATCTTCCACTATGACGCACTGAACACTGAACAAAAAGATATTTTGACTTGTCAAAAAAAGCACAGGTGGAATTTATAATATTAACAAGTGTCCCAGTTAAATATTGATGAGCCTGTACGCACAATACCAGATTCCCTCTAAGTGGAAGACAGCCTTTAATAATGTTATTAAATACATCTGTTATTTTC